TTTGGCGCTCTACATGGCCTCATCTTAGAGTTGTACTACAATGAAGCTCGTGACCGTGAAGCGGCAATCCCGGCTTTCGGCGTTATAGCAGCGATGGCACTATCCGCTTTTCTGGATGGGATGAATAACCATCCCACCTGTCTGGTCTTCCTATCATTGCGGTTGCTCTGACTGGTGGGGGTTTAATTTGATTTGAGGTTGCTGGGATCTTGACAGACGGGCCGTCAGGCTAAATGATACTACTCTTCGCAAGCGGCAAATTGAGGGGCATTGGGCAAACAATTAATTAAAGAGATCATCCTGGTCGAGTGCGCCCAACGAGAATTTCACAATCGAAGCAGCGTTGCAACCATTGCCGGACACATGCTGTTGGTCTGGCTCCTGGAAATCGGCGTTGATGGTTCGTTCTGGGGACTGCCACAGCAGCTCCCCTTATGCACAGTTGTGGAGCGAGGACCAACTCCGTACCTGTATGTAGAAAGGGATGACTGACCCCTTGCTGTCGTGAATCCATGCATTATAGACCGGGTGCAGTCGATATTTGCATTGCTGCGTGTACATACCACTACTGCGCCCATACAGAGTACTTGCACGTCGCTGCCATTGACGGGAAGATAGGTGACCTGGTCCGCCGCTCCATAGCGACGGGTCAGCTAATTTAAGAAAAGACCAGGCTCGACAGCTCAAATTCACGATAGAGCCGGGAGAGAAGAGGGCCCTTGTCTGTCTCGTCTGCACGCGGTGCCATGCTAGCACGCCAGAAGGCCGCTAGCGGGTGGCCTCAAACACTCCTCACAAACCATGGCCCATGCTTTCCTTGCTTTTTTTACTTCATGTTTCCTCTTCGCTGGTGATGAAAACGATGCTGTGCGCGCTCACGTCACATCGCGAGAGTGTAGTGCTTGAAACCTAAACCATCGTACCTGGACAGACGCCCAATACGTAGCGAGCTGCGAGGGGCGAGCAAATAGCAGCCAGTATTTGCCCTGTCTCGTGGCTCCCACCTGGTCCCCCGCTCTCCCAGCTGGCCATTCACAGACGGCTATCGCAGGTGTTGTGCATGTCTTCCTGCATCAGGCATTGAGGGCCCATCGTGTCGTGTACCTTTTATGCAGCGCGACTAACACCTGAGCCTCTCCGCATCTCATCACACTGCTCTCATCCGTTCTTCCATTTATTCCTCCGAGGACAGCTGCGAGGGAGACACAAACCAGCACCATCCCGCCACATCGCGTTCGTCTTAATTAGCGGCCAATTCGCTCTGAGACAGCCTTAGTCCCTTAGCTCCCAGCTTGGTGGCCGGTTTCAGTGCTGATAGTTCAGTTTGCAGCTACCGCTAGCCAGGATCGTGCGCTATGTCATAGCGCCTTCAGCGACCTGCCTCAACTGCATCCCCCCGGACCCCCCTGTAGCCTAGCGAGCGCGGCTTGGTGGCCAATCTGCTTCTGGTTAGAGACCAACCAACCACCTCCGCCCGCTCCAAATTTCGATCCCTCTTGTCGAACCTCTTCACCCATCAAGTTGCCCAGCCCTGGCTTGCCTCTCTACGCGCAATCTCACGAGCTGGCTGAGGGCAGCCGCATCATCCCACCAGCTATCGCGTTGTCACCATATCTCATGGAACGGTCAACTGGGTGAGACGTCGACGAATTGCCTTCCCTGCGCCTGAGATCCGGCTGCCAGATTCGCCCCTTGTCCTCGCGACCTCTCCTTTTCGTCGACTCGATATTAGCACCCATCAGACCATTCTGCCGACACTCGCTGCCCTGAGCACCAGATTTCCCTTGACTCTTTACCATCCTTTCTCCTACGATATCAACTATCTCAGCAGATTACAATCTCTTACGAAACACTCGCCGACGTGCCCGTATCTCCTGCGTCCAGACCTGGGGAACCCGACACGGCCATCGCCACTGGCCGCCGGCGCCCCAACGCTAAACAAAGCGCGTCGCCATGGCGGCTATCTCTACGTCACAGACAGCGACGAGGACGCTGACTCCTCCGGACAGTAGTTATGGACAGAGTGCTTCGTGGGGGCAGCATGAGGATGACCACGCCCAGGTGAGACAGACCTAGACGCCTTCCCGACTCTTGAGACACCTTTTTGCCCAGCTGCCGATTGAAAAGCACCGCCATCCTGTGACCAAATATGAGTATTCTTTTTACTGATCTTGGCCCAAATCCAGAACCATCATGACTTTAGATTCCCTGCGAATTCCAATCATTCTTACTCGAACTCAAACTCAAATACACAACCTAATAATAACTATATGCTGGGGGCTCAGATGGCGACACAACGCATGAAGTCGGCCGACGAGCAAGCTCATATTGGCGACACATTGGAGGACCCATCTCACCACGACGGCGGAAAGTTGTTGCCAGAGTTCACACCGGAACCACAATCTGCCGGGAAGAGAAAGGGCTCGGACGATGATGACGACGATCAGCCATGGGTGGAGGAATATGCGACGGACGACTCCAAATGGATCCATCGTGATAAGTTGGCCAAGATTGAAAGCCAGGAGCTTCAGGCCGCTGGATTGGTTATTCCAAGGACGCGGGCCCCCAGCAAACAGCGACGAGACCGAAGCCGGAGCAACATGCGACCAGGAACTGAGGCATCAGACTACGGCCAGAGCAGATCCCGAAAGAATTCATCCTCAGTGGAACACCGCCCTCCCGAGATCTCCGTTCCCAGCTGGGATCTTAGAACACCCGAGGAAATTGCCGAGGCAGAGGCCAACACATACTTCACATCCAACGGACTGAAGGGTGGCTCGAAAATCCCAGTGGCCAAGACGAGCCCGCTCCCTATTGGGGCGGGCTATCTCGGCGGAGGAAGTACTGGGAGGAAAAACAGCGAGAGCCCGGAGGAAGACTCCATGTCTATGAAGAGACGATCCCGGAGTGCAAGTGCAAGCCTCCGAGGTTTCGAAAAGCCCAGCCTCAACTCGACTGGACCCAAACGATCAGGAACCGATTCGTCACCCAAGAAGTCAGCAGGGCGCAAGACTTCCGGCGGCATGAAGACGAATGCAAATGCAAGACCAAAGACGCGTTCAGGAAGCGGCAGCGGCACCAGACCATCCACTCGGTCTGGTGAATCGCCCCCGACTAAGCAACCGGAGGGAGACCCGCCGTGGATGGTCAATTCTTACAAGCCTGATCCTCGACTTCCCCCTGACCAACAAATGTTGCCGACGGTAGCTCGCCGTCTTCAGCAAGAGAAATGGGAGAAGGAAGGCACATACGGAGATGTGTATGACAAGGATTTCCGGCCTTTGAACGACAAGGCACTGCTGAAGCCCTCCGAGATGGTTCAGGGTGGCGACCACAACGATGAGCATGGAGCGGACGGTGACCACCTGCAGCCATCAGAGTGGCCTCTCAAGCAGGGAGAGTCCGCCCCTCGAAGCCCCCGTGTGAGGCAAGGCTCATACTCAACCATGCCCAAGATCTCGGACAAAACTCCCGCGACCCCGACCTCGGCAAACTTCCAAATTCCACCCAGCCCTCAGCCCCATGGGCAAACTCATACACATGTTTCTTCACAACCTAAGAGAGTCCCCGAAGAGAAAGACGAGGATGCCAAGAAGGGCGGTTGTGGCTGCTGCGTGGTCATGTAGTCTCAATTCAAACATGTTGATACGTGAGACACCAGTCCACAGTGAGAAGCATCATCCAACACTCGACTTGGTACTTGATTGGGACAACAGACCCTTGACGACGTTATGAACTGCACACACCAGCTTTTGACTTCGAGCCTTGTTTTATTTCCCACCTTACATATACTCGTATTGCACAATACCTCCCTCCCTAGCGCATCGACTGCCGCATTTTCCTTTGTTTTTTTTCAACCCCAGAGATGGCCACGGACTGACCCACGCTTCATGCTCACGCCTGGATGACAAGAAGCTGGTTTCTCGCCCGGCGCATGAGCACTGTCGAGACCTCGTCGTCTTTTACTGCCTCTCTCACAAATACCACCACCTATGGTTGAGCATTGCAACCCTCGAACCCGATATATAATCTTGGCAACATTATCCTTTTTCTAGCAAGGCGTTATTGCCTTTTGACCTTTCTTCTCCACTGCTTCCAGTCAATTGTCTTCGCCAAGGGACAAGGGGGAGCCCTCTCATTTCGTCTATCTAGCATTGTGGGAGCGTTATGATTCTTGTTATAAAGTTGTCCTTTTCCTCTCTTTCCGCCTCCAGCACTTGCACATACCGGTTTATTCGATCTTCTCTTCCACCCCTTGTTCCTTTTATTGCCATTGGTGACTTTTAAAAGTCGATTTACACTGTTCAAGGGGGAGCGGAACATATTTTGAGATTTCACAGATGGTCTCACGCCCAACGGGGGAATTGCCTGGCTGACTGCGTTGCTCGCTGGTCGGCCTCGGAGCGTTGCCTAACCTTTTCCTTTTACTCTTTTTCCACTATTAGGTTTCCCTTCCTTTTCGCATTCAAGAGGGGGTATAGATATTTCGAGGTAGATGAAAAGAATTAGTGAACGAATCAGTTCTTACGTTTGCCCCCCTGATCCTCATGTGAGTTTGAGGTTTGCCCAGAGGAAGCTCTGGGATAATGGCGGATCGTGATGGAGCGAGCAATTGGCTAATCGAAGGCGTCATAAACGGTTGGAACGGCCGGATCTGGCGGCAAGGCCCGTCACCCGCTGCCAAAGGCTCCACGGGCCATTCCAGCCCCAAGCCGCTGCATGTTTAGACTTTTCTGTGGCATGGGAATTGAGTTGAAAACAGGGCATTTTGAATTGTTGCTTTTGAATGCTGTTACATCATAGAGTTTGGGCGGCCTCAGGGTTGCGTAACCATGACGATCGCTTCAAGATGTGATGCGGAGGAGGTGGGTATTTGATGGTTTCATTGTCGTCTTTTTATACCATCAAGACGGCTTTTCGATGCCATTGTCGTTCGGAAATTGATCGTATTCTCATAATCTATACTTACAAATTTTAATTGGCCATACAAAATTACCAAAATGGTTGTTCAGCACGGCGACGCGCATCACATCCCGGAGCATCACCGGATTCACAAGTAAACCCCCTTCCCTCCTCATCACCATATCCCATCATCTTGACTGACCCCGTTACCTCAGACCGGGAGCATGGCTTCCGAGGGACCACCGCATCCATCGCGAGTTCCTCCACCGGGCCAGCAAGCACGCAGACGCCCACCCGGACAAGGAGCTTACGCCCGCGCTCAAGGAGTTCAAGGAGTTCATCGAGACGACCCCGCGCATCTACATGCACTTTGTCCAGATGTTCGAGGAGATCCCGAACAAGCCCCCGTACTGGCACGACCCCACGGGGACGCCCCAGATCCGTGACTATCGCCACATGCTGGCCGTGCTGAACCACATTGTCACGCGGGCGCCGGAGTGGACTGATGCTGCGGAGGCGGTGGGCGTGGTTGGGGTGCCCATGTGTGCTATTCTTGATTATCCGATGGGGACTCCGAGGTACGTTATTCCAAGGGACGATTGTGGAATTTGCGCATTTCGTATCTTTTTGTGAGCTGGAGGCTGATATTGGGGGGATTCAGCGGACACGCAGCTTTCTTGGATCCCGATGTGAATAGGATGCTGAAGAAGGTGTTGAACGAATGGGGCAAGTTTCTACAGGTTCGTCTATCCTACCTCTGTCTCGGTCATTAATTCCGAGGGGCGAGATACTAACGGTGAAGTACAGACACCCGAATCTGCAAGTGTTCTTGAAAACCACAAGACAGGTTGGTTTGGTGAGGTTGGAGTCAAGGACTTGATGGAGGTGGCCAACCAGCCTTACTCGACCAACCACAAGTTCGAGGACATGTACATCTGTGATCCCTCGGCGAAGCACTACGGCTTCAAATCCTGGGATGGTGAGTCGACTTATTCGATGAAGGCTACACACCCAGCTTCTAAGCTACATACTCACCTCTTCCAGACTTCTTCACCCGCCAAGTCCACGACAGCGCCAGGCCCGTCGCCTCGCCAGACGACGACTCCGTCATCGCCAACGCCTGCGAGTCCAAGGTCTACAACATCTCGCACCACGTCAAGCTACGCGACAAGTTCTTCGCCAAGGGCCAGCCGTACTCGCTCCTCGACATGCTCGGCCACGACGACCTGACGCACGAGTTCGCCCACGGCACCGTCTACCAGGCCTTCCTCTCCGCGCTGTCGTACCACCGCTGGCACAGCCCCGTGTCGGGTAAGATCAAGCGCGCGTTCCTCGTCGAGGGGACCTACTTCAGCGAGCCGCTCTTCGAGGGGGTGGGCAACCCGGGCACGGCGGAGATCGACTCGCGGGGCATCTCGCTCGTCCAGGGGTACCTGTCGTCGCTGGCCACGCGGGCCGTCATCTTCATCGAGGCGGACAACCCGGCCATTGGGCTGATGGCGTTTGTAGGGATCGGGATGGACGAGGTCAGCACGTGCGACATCACGGTCAAGGAGGGCCAGCACGTCAAGAAGGGTCAGGAGCTGGGCATGTTCCACTTTGGAGGCTCGAGCCACTGCTTGGTGTTTAGGAAGGGGGTGAAGGTGGATGGGTTCCCCAAGGTTGGGAGGGAGGAGAATGTGCCGGTCCGGGGCAAGCTGGCTGTTGTGCATAAATGAAGGATGATTACTCCCAGTTGTGTGGTGATACCAAGTTCGAGGTCTATTAATTGAGTTGAGGAACTGATGTTTTGAAATGAGGGCGTGCTGTGACATGTCTGATATTGGATGGCTTGGCTCGACTTCCCTTGTAAGTCGACTCTAAGATATAATTAACCACCAACAATGAACTAAGTCCTCTTCCGGTATCCATCTTAATAGTAGCGACTATGAGATAGTCGTTGAGAGCAAAATAAAAGGTAAAGTTATATATGAGTATGAGCAAGGGCAAAAAGAAATGCTAATTGACCCGACCACGCCAGGAGTCGAACCTGGAATCTCTAGAGGATGGAAAGAACCGAAATCTAGCGCCTTAGCCATTAGGCCACGCGGCCAATTAACGTGACAGGTGTGGTGACAATGCATGTACATGACCTTTGCGGTTGGCTGCATCTGTCACACAATTCAAGATTCAAGCTCGCAGTATCTGTTACGTGGGAGGTATCCAATGGTCACACTTGGACGGCGTGTCTGGACGTCATGTTGCACGGCCGAGGCTCCATGTCTGAGTTCAGATGGTGTCCATGAGACACGCAGCACAAGCCAATCAGGTCTAGGAGGACATGGACCACACAACGGCCGCTTCACCAGTGCTACGGAGCAAAGGAGAGTGCGGCCCAACGTCACCCGCGAGATCTCGTCAGTGCAGTGCAGCGTCACGGCAGTCAAGAGCACTAGCGAGGGTGAGTGAGGCCCGGAGGCAGGACGGGCCCCGCGCTAAACAGTGATAAGCTTCGCTCAAAAGGGCCCACCACCTATAACCACCGGCAACATCGAGAACCAGAGTCTCGACGCAATTCTCGCGGCAATTACACTCCTCATCGCGCGCAGCCTGGGGGCACCGTCAGCAAGCAGAGACGACGCGCAGAGCAGGCATTGCAAGAATGGCACCGCCCGCACCAGCAGCCGCCAGCGCAGACCTGCTGGGCCTGCTCGAGGCCGCGCTCCCCCAGGACAGTCGCCAGGCGCTCCGCTCATCGGTCCTGCCGGCGCTGCTCGACGCCGTCGCCGCCATCGCCCAGACCCTGCGAGGCTACCACAGCGTGTCCGCCGCCGGCACCGCCAATCCCTTTGGCGACGACCAGCTCAACGTCGATGTTGCCGCCGAGAACCTCATCCGCGACGCCCTGGCCCGGTGCCCGTCCGTCGTCACCGCCACCAGCGAGGAGGACCCGGTCGAGAAGCCGGTCCAGCACCTCAACGGCGCCTCCCACGACTCCCCAGAACAGCCCTCTCCCGAATCATCATCATCATCATCATCATCATCATCATCAGAGACATACACCGTCGCCTTCGACCCCCTCGACGGCAGCTCCATCATCGCCCCCAACTGGACCGTCGGGTCCATCGTGGGCATTTGGGACGGCCGCTCCTCCCTCGGCCAGTCGCCGCGCGAGAAGCAGGTCGCCTCCATCCTGGGCTTCTTCGGCCCCCGCACAACCGCCGTCGTCGCCGTGCGCGTCCCCGGCGGCGAGCCCTCGTGCTTCGAGGTAGGCCTCACCGACGACGGCGTGCGCACGTGCCAGGTCGTGCGCTCCCAGGTCCGCCTCACCAACTCCATCGACGGCGTCCGGTACTTCGCCCCGGCCAACCTGCGCGCCGCCGCCGAGAGCCCCCAGTACATGGCTCTCGTGTCGCACTACATCCAGAGCAAATACACCCTGCGGTACAGCGGCGGCCTCGTCCCCGACCTGGGCCACATCCTCGTCAAGGGCCACGGCATCTACGTGTCGCCCACCACCGAGGCGAGCAAGGCCAAGCTTAGGCGGCTGTTCGAGCTGTGCCCCGTCGCCCTGGTCATGGAGTGCGCGGGGGGCGCCGCCATCGACACCGCCGACGGGGTGGACATTCTGCAACGGCCGCTGGAAAACGCGGACGAGAGGGGGGGGCTGGCGTGCGGGAATCTTGAGGAGATAGAGGTAGCCAAGAAGATGCTGCTTGGCATTTCCAAATGAAATAATATGCCCCGAGCTTGAATGACGTTTATTGTGTCTCTTGGTGTGCTTGTTGCTCCCTCATCGTTCTCCCTCATGCCACCATCCTCTCCATTCTCATCCTGGACCAAACAAGCCTTGATGATATACATGGTCATCACCTACATTTCGTCTCTGTCCCGGGATTACCGTAACGAGTCAACGGGCTCAAGAGAGGTGACGACATATACCAATGGTTGCGCCGAGCCTCATCCAAACAAAGCGACTAGTTCCCTTGTTATGCCTCAATCAAATTGATTCTGGGCAGTAATTGGATTGATCACGAGACGGTGCTGGGAGGTGTAGTTTTCGAAGCTGCAATTGGCTGTGATGGATAAGGTTGTATTTGGCGATGGCTATCCCTTCCCCCTTGTGTGCCCTTCCAACGTCATCGCGGTGGCGAACCCTCCAGGATGGAAGCGAACCCTTCACATCCCACCAACCTCGCTTCCAGCTGTGGCTGACATTGGAATCAGCAGAGGCAGCGATCAACTACAAACGTTGCCGCGAGCCTACTCACATTTGCAGTTTTCAGCACTCGAGTGTCGTCACCGATGTGCCAAGGATGCCATGATGTAGACAGAATGGTCAATCAATTCAGACAGGGTTCAAGTTTTTCGGCTATATATTGAGAGCTCTTTCTCCCTCTTCAGATCAGACGATAGATATCAATCTACACTTTTTACAACACACAGCTTTTCAAAAACTTTACAAAATTAAAACGTTTTACAACATAACATCAACATGGTAGCAGGGTAAGCTCAACTGACAGACAGGAAAAGTCTTGGTTCACTCTTTCTCACCCAGAATCTAGTCATCGCAGACTCTCCTTCACCCTCTCGCCCGCCTCGCGAGCAACCAAGCGAGTAATGGAGCAGCGGAATGACAGGCGCACGTCCATTGAATCAGCCCCCCGCCGTTCGAGCATCGCGGATACTCCGGTGGTGGAGATTGCTCCTTACTTGAGGGATCCTTCCGAGAGATGGACATGTGCGAACAGGATCGGTTAGTTGGGTTTGTCATGTCCACAAAGCAATAGATGGAAGAGTTTCCAGTTGTACGAATAAGCAGATTTGAGATAAATATACAACCTGAGAAGATATCCCTCTTTTATTTCCTATCCTATTTCCAATGCAATTTATCCAGTCCCAAGAATAGGCAACGTAGTATATGCTTCTGTGCTTGCTACCCTATATGCATTGCCGAACACATTAAGGATTTCGTTAATCGCCAATATCCTTTCAAGTTTCTTCTCTGGTTGGTTCTAAAACGATTAAAGAGAGGTACATGTATTTATTTAATTGGGCTAATTATGGTTCATCTCGAAGCGAATTGTTCGAGTTCAGGATTGGAAGGTTTTCCACATATGCCCCAAGCCTCAACCTTGTATACCTTTTCAATTACACAGAATAGCAGGTTCTCACGAATGCAGCACTTACGTCACTCACAAATTCGACAATGCGCAACACTGAGACGGAAGTAAATACACAACCAGAAAAGAACCTGTTAAAATAAGGTTGGATTTCCCCAAAGGTCGGTAGGGTAATGGGCTAGGCGATGGTCAGTCGATGGATTTCATTCCCTTCTGGCCTATAATCACCATCATTCTACTTATAAACATAAGAGTGTGAGTTAGGATCAAAGGATTGAATCATAACGTAGCCTATTGAGTGCAAGACAAGTGAGAAATTCCATGTAATAGGATATGCTGTTGTTGGACTCATAACTTGTGATTCCATGTGCAAGGACAAGAAAAAACAATGATGTTTGATCACGAGAAGTTCCTACCTTGAAAGATTATGTACTTGAATATCCTGCGTCACTGCAATTTAGAGATATCAGCCCTAAGCTGGTGGTTGGATGAAGCTGTTAGAGGAAGCGCTGGTGAAGCCCAAGGCTATCATCGGCTCTAAGAATTGCCGAGGTTCGCGACCGCCGCCGCACCAAAAAGCCGGACGACTCCAAACCACCACTGCGACATCTTCAAGTTCTGACACGCCACGAGACCTGAATGCGACATCGCGCGGGCGCAATGTCCAAGATCTCGCCGTCGCTCAAGGCGCTCATCAATGCGTCCTTTGCGCACCCAGGCCCAACCGCTGCGCCCGCCGCCCAGATCCGCGAAGCCTTCGTCGACATTGCCCGCGATGCTTCGAGGCGCAAGCTCGGCCCGCGGTCGTGGATAGTCCTATCCGTACGCCTTCCCCTCTCCCCATTGAAGCATAAGAAAAGAAGACTAACAGGAGAACAGGCCGCCGCCACATTCACCCTCAACTCCCCCGACTCCCTCACCATCCTCCACGACGTCGCATCCTCCCCCGGCCACCACGACCCCAATCCCAGCGACCCCGTCCAGACCGCAGAGCTCATCCGCGAGGTCGGCCTCAAGTGCATCAGCTTCAACGGCATCCCCCGCTCCATCAACTGCCTCAACGCCTTCCACGCCTCCCTGCCCGCCTCCGTCACCGCCCGCCTCGCCAGCGCACCCTCCCGGGCCCTCTCCCCCGAGTCCCTCCCGCAGGTCCGGCAGCGCGGCCGCGACCTCTGGAAGTCCATCTACCGCCCGCTAGACGAGAAGCTCTACCGCAAGCTGGCGCGCTCGCACCCCGACCTGCCGGTGCACATCCTCGACGCCAACTACGGCCCTCTGCTGGCGGATCCGCCTAGAGCCGAAACAAAGGGACTGGCGAGCGTGGGGCGGCTCCTCACTTCTGTTGTTGCCATTGCGAGTCTGAGGGCGCAGACGGGCGTGGGACCACAGGTCCTGTCGCACGTGTACGGCTTGCGCAAGGCAGTCGAGGACGGCTCGTTCAGGGACGATGTGGTCGCGGAGGGGGACGAGGCGGCGGAGTGGCTGGCGGGGGATGAGGGGAGCGAGTGGATTTTGAGGAGTGTTGATCGGATCGTGGATGTGTTGGGGGGTGGGAATTTTGCGGCGGCGGGGAGAGTGGCCAAGTTGTGATTGCGATGGTGATGAAGGTTTTCTGCGAGGGCGGTAATTCCTGAGAGAGGCCCTGCCTGGGAGCAGATCCCGCATGTTTTGGAGCGTTTAGTTTCAGGAGCGAGATGTTCTGGAGTTGTGATATTGATATCACGACGTTTTCACGATGACCATCAAGGAGGTGTACGGTCATCTGGCCTGCACCTAAAGGCGACCAATGTCCATTTTAGCCATATAGATCCTTGGGATAGAGAACCTGTTAGATATAGAAGCTGCCCCGCGGAATCCACACTCAAATTGCAGTTCATACTCCGTTGAGGGGAAATGCTCTCTCTGCATTGAGGCACCTCTCTAGAGGCCGCAGCCAACATGGCAGACTCAATCTGTCGAGTTTACAAAATAATGTATTATTGTATATTATTTAGATTGATATTGTATTAATAATTGGGTTGATTATTTTGATATTGTATCGAATCTGAGGTTGTATGGAGGCTTTGGTGTGTCATGTTTTATTTCAGCCACTTGCTAGTATGTATCAACAGTCTAACAAGAGGGCTTCACTTTCTCCACGGGATCACTCCATCAAACCACATTAAATATCAAGTCACTGTCTAATGTTTCCAACACTTGCACCCAGCCGTTGCAGATGATGGTCACTAAGAACAATGTCACCCTCCCCTTGCCCTGGCGCCCGTAGAAAGAGATCCATGAAGCTTAGTTGTAGAGGACCTCTAGTAACACCATATGATGAGGGATCTTCTGGATTTGTAGAAGGCAAAGTCTTCTGGATAGTGATGTGGTGCGTGTTGATCGGCTCTAAGCGAGCAAAGGATCGTGTCGTGGTAGCACCAGCGCGCTCTTCACGTGGAAACTCTTTCCACTGATCGATGATAATTTTCCCAGGCACTGAGGGATCTAGCTTTATGAGCAGAACAATCTTCACCTGGTGCTGTGAGGCTGTGAACCACCACCTCATCTGTTGCCTTAAAGCAGTGATAGATTGCGAGTATCCAGTTTCGATAACAAGAGTTGGCCAAGGGTGTATATCGTCGTCGCGCTCCATTGGGCCTCCACTTGAATCAGCTTCCGAAACACCCCCACCATGTTCTGCTCGTAGAGTTGTAGAGCCGTAATCGCCCCAATCATCTTCTAAACCCATAGCTGCGACCTCTCCCATGATGAGGCCGTAAAGTTTTGAGTGACTTCTTTCATAGAGAAGGGTGGGAACCACGAGGATGAGTAGGCGCTGTGCTGGGGAGAAGTTCTTTAAGCGAGGTGCAGACGTTTCCCCTTTTGCTTCTTCTATATTTGCAAAGTCCTCTGTAGATACATCTGGTATCATGAAAATATTAGTATTACAAAAAGCAGAGCACTTTTCATTCTTTCTCACCTTCAACATAGGTGACATCGCTCGAAGACTGGCGGACTGCTTGAAGTAGCGCCTGGGCGGTAGTGAATTTGATAGTAGCGGGCCCAACAGTGGTAGGATTTGTGTCCACTAGCCCAATATCTGGTGAGGTTGTAGACCCCTTCGTCGACATGATTGGGGCAAGGATGGCTTTGGAAAATGAAAGTGGCCAAATAGCTCGTGCTAGTGGATTCCTTCCGAGATTGGTGATCTTATTAGACTTTTGATAGGTATATAGGTACTACAAGTGGCTGAAGCAAAACATGGCACACCAAAGCTCTTTTTGTGCGAGGCAGGGACCTCATTCCTAACTAAACACAATAATAAGAGAATAATAAACTATTCTATAATATTTAGCTTGATATTGTTTTCAGTACTAGGTTAACTATTCTGATATTGTATTGAAATCCAACGCTGAACTGTCTCGATATGTCATTTTATTTCGCTCACCTGCTACTGTAGAAGGGCAAACCTTCCCGTTGCGAGGGACCACCAAGTCAACCTTGCTAATTTGAAGCAAGAGTCCCCTTATTCATTACACCGAAACAGCCTAGCATTTCATCTTCATGAGAGAATTTTAACATGAGAGACTTTTAATGGAGACAAGAGAGGAAGACGTGTTCACGAATGGATGTCCTTGCACCGAATGTATCACATGAAGAAGGCGCCCACAGAAACTGTTTGATAGAGCTTGCGTAACACCAACGAATGTTTCCTCAAACGAGGGATTTCTCACCGAGAAACATACCCGATTCCACCTCTGTTTGACCGGAATGGAGCTGTCGGAGATGGGAGATGGTTAAACTTCAAGCTACGCATCCAAGTGGACAGTCCGTCGTGTCAGAACAATGGGGTCTCCATGTGGTGGACCAAACTGCGACATTTCGCAAGAGCCGAACGATGCGAGGAAGAATGAAACGACGACATCACGGACTACTACGAGCTACCTTTGACATGTGAAACTAGTAGAGACGACGCGCGCCGCTCGAGTTTCGGTGTTTCGCAAGACCGTGAAAACCCCGACTTTCGTTGAAGGGGGGGGGGGAATCCTATAAATCCATCCCGAATTGTCGGACCCGAGCAAAGTCCAGATATAGAAATCCCCATCTTAACCGTTGCAGATTCCCATGTTTGGGCCTTGAACCCTGAGAGAATTCCCATTATTCGGGTCCAAATCCCCCCTCCTGCAATTTCTAGAGCTGGGCACCAGGGAACCCTCTTCGTACCCAGAGCTGATCTACAGCGGAGGAACAGAGGGGAGCCTCTGGTTGGATGAAATCAAAGGATAGCTTCCTAAAGCAGCAAAATTTGGGAATCGAGGAGGATTCAGTCCAGGGGCCGTGCACCTCGAGGGAATTTGCACGACCTCCTCCATGGCAGAGGTACAGAATGGCGCAGCATGCGCATTTTTTTGCTGGCAGCACATGGAGAAGACTCCTCTAAATTTATCCCGTTTTGCCGGGTCACAGGAGCAATAAGCTTCTCACCAGCGAATGCGTGGCACTTTCGACCTCGTGGCTATGTTGGGCTTGCCGAGATGTGCGACCAAAATAACACCCCTGGGAATTATGGAGCGGCGACACTGATGAAACGCCCGGCAGGGTTGCCACGCCTTTAGGCTGTGTGCCGCAAGAGGGATGCGAGAATGGTCGAAGTAGCAGCTGGGAAAACGAATTCTGAGTTCAGGGTCTTCGTTGGTGATGGTGAGGGGTGAGTCGATATCATCTGAAATGCACGCCCGGTCGAGACTGGCAGCCACCGCGGTCTGAACAATGCTGGTATCCGAGCCGTTTGAGGCTAGAACCTTGAGGAAAACCACGAAGGAGTGAAATTTCAGGGTCTAATGGGCTCTTAGTTGACCTAGTAGTGAGCCATTGAATGATTCAGAGCCGGGCTTGACATTATAGAACGCCAGGCGCTTGTAAAAATAACACAACAGCGTCCGCATTGTCCGGCTCATGTTGAGGTGGCCGATATCGTGACTGTACGAGCGCCTCCAAGCGTTCTAGGCTCGTCTGCGTTCCCGGCTGTTTTGTACGGCTTCATCAAGACAATAGTGAGCGCCACGGCCAAGACGAGGCGTCTGTTCCCACAACACCAAATTTGGCCTCGATAATGAGAGACCGGGCAAGATCTCCACGTTCTTGCAGATGCCGCTTCACGATCCACAGCTCGGGCGGCTATCGTCTCCCGCAATAGTGTAGAGGATGGAGATGCATCAAGCCAAGCCTCGATATTGCAGCTCTATCTGGACACTAGGAACATGGTGATGCATTATTTACCTGCGTGGCGTGACATGCTTGATAGCCTGTCCTAACGGTTTTCCTGGGAGAGGGTTCGAGACCCTCTTGGATCTGCGGCTCGTTGTTTGTGGCTTTTGATCCCGTGAGAGTCAAAGAGATCTAGACCGTCATGAGTCAGGGCGCAATTCCACCTCACCAGCAAACAGCTGGAAAAGTGGGTAGCTAGGAATAAATGCGATTGTTCTTGGTCATTCGTAATCATGCCGCCCGTTCTATCTCCGTCGTTGCTGTGTCATATTGGTAGGTTGCAAGTCTCGTTGCCTGCCTATGGACACCCCAAAGGTGTCTGAACAGTTCGGCTTACACTGCGCCCAGAGCTAGTGTGACGCCCGCTAGGGAAACGCAATCTGTTGTGAAAGAGATTGGTTGCTGCCTGATCCTGGTGTGATTTCGAGGCTGTGTTCAGGCGCCCGCGGGCATCCGTTGCTTGGGGTAGCCCGATGGTCATACGATTGCTGCAAGGCAAAGCAATCACTGCCTCGGCTTTGTTACTTTTGGATGATGACTGTGTCAACAGCCATTCTGTAGCGAGGCAGCAAACAGCACAGCCGTTTCAGATATTCATGACCATCGGCGACCCTGGGGTAGGGACATAGGTCATGAGGTGTTGCTGACAGCTAGCTCTTGTCATTGGGCAGATGAGCAACGCCCGTGGTGACATCTCGAGTGACTAGCAGTAAACTCTAGATGACTGACTGGCCAGTTCAGGGATGGCTTCCGGGCGCGGGAAGCTCACCACGAGCATCGCGGACTGGTGGCGAGAATATGTCAAAAACGGTTGGGTAACATGATATGATACTTAGTCCTGCCGGCCCGTCGTCGCATCAGATCCGAACTAGCAATAAGTAATTGAAGGTCTGGAAGAAGGGTCGAGAAATAATTTCATTTCAGGCAGGAAAAAAGGGTACTGAACCCACAAAAAGGAGGCGACCGTTCTAGATCTTCCACACCATGGTTTAGTGTCGTCTGGATGGCGGTTCATAGAATGAACCGGGCCGAGCTAGGCAGATTAAGGTGCCGGTGATGATGGGCCGAGCGTCCCTTGGAGTGAGCTTCTCCTGGACCATCCTCTCCTCTCGGCTGGAAGACTCGAATGGCGAAGAATATCATTACCTAGTACGTTATCCTGCGACAATCGAGATGCCTGGTGCCGTGATGGAAGACTGGCTCCGGCCGCGTCCAGCACAGCAGAGGTAAAATCAAGATTTGCCAGCCGACTGATACCCTGAATTCCGCCACGGGATGTTGTGCATAGCAGCACCCTTGGCGTGACATGGCACAACAGGACTGGACACGGTGATTGGTGGTTGAAGTTCGGCTTGATTAGAGTAGTGGCTAGCTGAACGGGAGGTGGTATGTCAGTGTCAAGCGGTAATGTAGCAATCCGGCCGACGAATAGTTTGTCTGCGTATGAACATGAACACGAACACGCAGAGCTCGATACGGCTCGATGGTGGTGGACGTGGTGGGGGATCGCCAGCATGTCGCAGTGGTGATCTCGATCCTAGCGCACTCCAAGCGGCCAGGCCCACGATGGATACTGTCTGATACGATGGCCAGAAGAATTACACTACTGGGACTGTCACTGTGTCAGGAGACAGCCCGGAGCTAGCGTCTTGGGTATGTGTGTGTGCTGTTGTGTATGCAATAGCGGCCTCTTGGTATCACCCACCTATCGAGGCACTGGTTCAGATATGAGGAAGAAGGCCCTTTTGCCTTGGTGGCTCCAGCCTGGCTGGCGAAGGGGGGTGTGGCTCTAGGTTCCCGCTCTGGCTTTGTTTCATCGACCTCGATCTGTGGCCTGGGCCGTGCTTGAGATTATTAGGGAGGCCAAAGCAGCAGGAGGAATTGATGGATGCACGACATCTGGTTAAATTATGCCGAGGGATGGAGGACGGTTGTGACCATGGCACGGTCGTGTGCAGCGTTCCCACCTCGCAGAGTGACCAGGTGCGGTTGACGCGGCCGCGGAAAAGCAAGACTCATATGTGTGTATGTACGTGGAGATTGGGTGGTGAGGAGCATCACTTGAGACACGCGCTGCACCAGTGACGTTGGATGGCCGTCCACCAAAGGCGTCGAGCGCAGGAGGGTGTCGGGGCATTGCGTGCTCTCGGGCAGTCTCGCGATAAGAGAACCAGAGACAGCAGCGCACTGCAACGCCAATCCACGTCGCTGTGATGCCATCTCTAGATCGCGCGCTCAAATCGTGATGGCGGCAGGAAATGAGCTGAGCGGTGGTGCAGCAACAGACGGGGTGGCCAGTGGTCTGATAGGGTCTGGTAGGGTCTGGTAGGCCTGCGGTCCTAGGCCCCTTCAGGCGCTGCCGGGCCTCTGCTGCCCCCTTCGCAGACCCTGAAGATCGAGGTTTAGCAGCTTCATCAGCTGGCCCATCTCAACCGCCTCCGTGATAAAGCAATGATCGTCTCCCCACGTTTCCGCCAACCGCGACAGGCCGGGCTCTCGGACTGCCAGACTCAGACATACCACAGACGTGTGAGAGACAGTCGGCGGCCAGTCTCAGGTCGATCATGCAGCTATCGGGGCAGTCAGCTTGCCGCCTGCTTAATTGCCTGGGCGGAGCCTTGGACTCCGGCGCTGCTGCCCACAATTCCAGGTACCCAAGCAGAAGAATCTCCATCTCCATCATCCCAGGCCACAGTATCCATTCCATCGAGAGCCCACAAGCCGGTGTGGAGTATGGAAAAAGTTTTTCTTCTTCTCTACGCTTTCTGTTTGCTGTCCCTTTCCAAGGTAAAGTACTACGTAGGACTGACCCTGGACGGACACTTGATGCCAAGCTTGACATGTGTTGGGCAACATGGGCACAGCTGGGTGACGGGCCGGTGTCAATGCGAACGCCTCGCCTGACAGGTCGGTCGGGAGCAAAAGGAGACAAATCAATGGCGCTAGATCTCCGGTGCAGCCTCTCTGTCTGTCTGTACGGGGTGGTGCTCCCGCACATGTGAAACAGACGTCGACCGGAAATAATGCTTGCATCACGACGCCTTTCTCAACGCCCGAGGAGATGGATAGGACTGCGACAAATCTCCGAACTTGGCGCGGATGGCTGCCAATTCATTCATTCACGTCCGAGCCTGCCGCTGTGCTTGTGCGCCCAAGCCTCGCCCGTCCCTGTAGTCCGAGGTTGGTCTGTATATGCGCGGGCTGCGTAGAACCTTGCTGTGCTGTGCTGTGCGTGCTGTTCGGTGCGCGAGGGATCATTAAGCCAGGTCGTAATCCCGCTGATCTGTAAACCCGGCTGCTGATGCTGATTGACCGGCCTTCCCCTTGCCGGGCCAATTCATCAGCCTGCGAACACGCATCCATGGACTCTGCGGTGACCGAGAGGCAGGCAGCATCTCTCAGCCAGCCAAGCCTCAGCCCAACGACTGAGACAGAGTTTTCCCAGGCCTAATTGACCACTAATGACCCTTATCCTTGCAGTGAGTCAACCTCTTCTCAGGGACCGGGATAGGATCGCCAACTAACTATGTGACTACACCGAGCCTCCTTTGCCAGCACACCAGCGGACGGGCCAAGTAAACATCAACAACAAACCCTCTCCTGCTACAAAGGGCTGTCCGTGTTCAGTCTGTGGTTAAAAACAGCACAGCAGAGTCCAGCGCACTAAGTGGAACAGCGAGGCGGGATCATTGACCAGGCCGAGGACCCCGTAGCATGAATCAACGGTTCTCGTGTGCGCCCCGACAATTGCTTACGATAGGGGATCCCTGACTCTTACACACAGTACGTATTCATCAGTCAAACAAGCCAGCCTTACTGCTAGCTGTTAGCGTCTGTCCGAAACAGCCGAGCAGTCAATCGATGCCGCTCCAGACCCAGAGTCCAAAGCCCGCGTTGGAGATTGGGCAAAGGTCAAAAAGGGGGTGCGGCTTGTCCGTCTTCCCTGGCCTTGCCCGTACGTACACCCCCTTGCCCTCAAACCCTAGAATCGCTGCATGTTGCTGTCCTCTTATTCAGAGGGGGCCGATACTTTGAACGCAATACACAACTGTGGTGAATGGTTTTTGTGTCTCTCTGATTGGGCTTCACCCCATTTATTCATGCCCGACCGGATTGGTAGGAATAACAATAAAACTGCACCTACTATGAGTCTGTCGTGTCTGGCCGGCTCTCGCTTGCGAAAGGGTGCCAGCCAAGTAGAATAGACGAGAGCTGTCATCAGATTCAAGTGACTGCCCAGGCGCCAGCCTCTTCCCTCCACGCAAAACACGTACGCAAGCACACACACGCATATGCACTTACATGAGAGGCACACGCTCGCCCAGACAGACAGGGAGGGCAAAGAGACGAATGGCTCGGGCGGTTGGCGCAGAACCCTGCTGCTGCAGCAGACTGGACTCACACCCCTCCTCTCCTCTCCTGCTCTCCCGCTAGACGCATTTCTTGCAAGTCCCTTTTTTAGCGCTCTGCATCAAAGAGCGGACCGGGGTGGTGCTACCTTAGACCTCTCATCAGCAAGCGATCCTTGGCTGCAAGTACGTACTGCTGCTGTCCCTGGGGGGTCTGGACGGTCATCGGTGATCGTCCCAGCCCGTGGATCCTCCTCAGGTTCCAACGCCAAAAACCTACACCAGAGACATGCCTTTTTCTACTGCCGCCCTCCCACCTCATCCTGCTCGCCAGCTCTTTCTGCACAATCCATCATCCTCTCCATCCTCAGCTCCCAGCAACGACCCTGCTCCTCGACACGCCTCGAGAAGCAACAGCCTCCAAAAGCATCCATCTGACTGATACGCACCTGTGCTGTGCTGTGCTTACACACTCACACGTACACACACCCTTCCCAGATCCTTCCTCGCCTGCCCTGTCCACAGGCCCGCTTAGCTGGAACAGCTCAAACTGCCCACGCGGACTTGTTACCAGGCACCCCTTTGCTTGCTTGATTGCTGGCTGGGCCCCCGGACCTATTTTACTTTTAGCAACCTCCCGAGCACCGGCCATCTCATCTCGACCTCCATATATATCTACCAAGATGCCCGCCTCACGACCCTCCAGCCAGCACTTTGATTCATCATCCTCACGCTCCTCATCCGACTCGGGCATCTCCTCAGCACCAGTATCCTCAGGCTACCGATCCAGCATGGACACCATTCAGCAACCCGTCGCCTCCGTCGAGATCCTGCGCTGCATGCGCTGCGCTCGTGCCGTCGAGACCACCTCGACCGACGACGCCAGCTCCATGGGCATGGTCCGCATCGCTCACAACCTCTACTACTGCGAGCGGTGCGCCAAGATTGTCGGCTACAAATAGAGAGTTTCGGCGTGAAGCCCCAAAAGCACCCAGCACCTGGACTGGAACTTGACATAATTTTCTTTTTACAACCACCACCGCAACCTCCTCTGCCTCAGCACACGATTACGAGACATACGCCCTGACGAACATCTTGATGACGGATAGACCTAGCAACATGGAAGGATAAGATATAGACTCGATACCTCGCCCCGCGCTGTGATGCAGCAGCAGCAGCAGCAACTACGTCCTGGAGACAACTTCGCGCACACGCCCCAATGGTAAAAAACCAGCCTCTCCGGGCAGCAACCACCACCTTCGCAGCAGCAATACCTGGACACGAGCACGCGGCACCTGGTGATGCATCTAGCCGTCTCGGTGCTTGCACTCGTGCGGGTTTCCTGGGCAGTCCGCATTGCTCCGCCAGCTCACGATGTTCCCGCCTCAAACGGGCTGAAACAAATCCACCCCGGGCTCGGCGGACGGTCAATCCACCCATCTGGGCTGAGATCCAATCGAATTGGGGTGAAATTTCTATTATTTCTCCTCGGCTGCGCTGACAGCCCTGTTTCGTGGCCCTATTCGGGGTTCTTTGTGGCTGTGTCACGGCCAGCACAAAACCGATATCCACCCACCCACCATTGCTTTCGATCTACCTCGCAAAGTTGTGGCATCTTTTTTTATTCCAGATGCCCTTCTCGATCAATCCTGCAGACACTCTCGGTCGCTTGGCGGCCACATCTCCGTCTGTGAGACATGCCGAGACATATTTTTCAATGGCGATGCGCAATTTTGGGGGGGCCCTTCTTGGTGCGCCCGCGCGACGTTCGTCATCGTGCGTCGGGTCGTAACCACCCTTGCCATTTTCCTCTAGCCGCCTTTTTTCGCCTGGACCAGCCTGTCTGCAGTCATTGCCTAAGCGGTGCATCCTTTCGAACAAGCCCATGGGGGGGGCTAAGTGCCGGGGTTGCATGCAGATGTGACCTGTCTCCGCCCGCCATCGACCAATGAGCGAAATGTCGCCAAGAGCCCTCGTATACCTGGATGCACCCCAACAATGAAACCTGCACCGCTCGGCAGTCGCCTTAGACACCATGGACGGTCTTGGCGGCTTCTCTTTTTTTGGTCTTGCACAATATCCCTCTCTGCATGAGGGAACAAGAGAGGCCTGTCGGTCCATTCCATGGCCCTGGCGATCCGGGACGTCACTGGGTCCAGACCGATCCGAGTGCACACGGCATTACTTTCCCCGCGGTATTTCCTGGCCGTTCGGGCCTATTGAACTTTCCGCCTGTCTCTCATGCAGGTCACATTGTGGAAGAGCACTTGGGATATCAGATGGTAGTGGCAGTTGCGCTTGGCTTAGCCAACGGCGATACGGGCCAATTGGAAACTGGAATGTTGGTATATGTACAATATGGTGTCATCGGTGGACAACACGGCGTTTCTTTTTCTCTTTCTTGTATCTTTTCTTTTTCAACTGTGGCTTGCGATACATGACCGGCCGTATGATCGGAGTTTTTTGTCTTTTTACATAATTCGAGACAATGCCCTCAACTCACAACCCGGGCTGGTCCCGGATGGCTTGCTCAGAACCCGTGAAGTGCCGAAGAGTACCTAGATTAAGTCGAAAGCAATATCACGAGTATTATTAAAACGCAACATCCCATTATCCATTGACAAGTGAGAAAAAGAAAACACCGCCCATGCAAGACGTTATGTGATGTATCGCATTCCCTTGGTCGTCTGCCACCCGGGCGTACAGCGGCACCCTGCGTCAGATGACCAACTGATTATAGGCCCTGACCAGACTGGTGGTCGGATGTTCCATTGTCTAGGACCCCTCCCTCTCCCTCCCTCAGCTATCCATTGTAAGCCTCCAAACTCCGAGCTGGGACTCTTGGTAAGCTGTTTCTGCTTCAGAATAGATCCCAGCGGAAAGTCCGTGGAGGGGTTCGTGTCACCCCCTCCCCCTCCCACTACGGATATAAGCAAGCGGCCGGGAGTTTGTGGGGGGAAGGTATGTAGGGCGGGTGGACAGCTGAGGACGAGGATTACAATGCTACGCTACGTTCTACGGTTGTTGTTTTTCACGTCCCGTATTTTTTCTGTTGCTACATCAATAAATGCGGACAAGGGGAAGAGGGGAGGAGGGGGGGGTGATTTCAGCATGGCAGGCAAGAATGGCATTTGTTATTTTCCCCATGTTGGGAAAAGAAGCAAAAAAAAAAAAAAAGCCACCATCAGGCGCGTTGCTGGGTGTAACGTGCCCATTCGGGGTTTGCACAAATGAGAGCGAAACCCTACATGAAGGGGCACTTGGCTCGGTTTGGCCCAGCGGGAAACTCAGTGAGGCGTTCAGCGGGAAACAGTGCCGGAGCGAACGGAGACCCTTTCCTAGCGCCCTGTGAGGGTTCTTTTGCGGCGAATGGGATGGCGTTGAAGGGATGGCGTTTGGGGATTTGGGGGATCTAGAACGTCGCCTGGGCAGAAGTTTAAATTGAAGCGAAGTTGGGCAGCAGATGACATGTAGCTAGGCAGCTAGCAGCTGGGATGGGAGGCTGTAAGTGCCGAGGAGGGGATCTGCTTACTGTTCGCTTCGCTTCTTGGGGTCAGAGATCGGCTGTGTAAAATTCGGAGTCCGGAATGGCCGGCGAGCCCTGGAAGGGAAGGGTTCGAGAAGAGCGCAAAGGGTGGAGCTTCTGGTCATGGATTAGACGATGTGAGCGAGGGACGAGTGCGACGATCAGCGAAGATCGATTAGGGGTTGAAATGCATCGCCTCGTTGTGAGATGACCTTGTGTGTGATATTGGCAAATTGAGTGTGTTGCGCCCGCCCCCTGGACGTGGAGGGAAGGATGTGTGTCTGTTGATGCTAGGGCCGCCAAGGTGATTTCTTATCCTTGGTGACGATAATTAGGATGCAGGTGGCTTCATTGTGCTGCGTTGCGGTGTGCTTGGAGTTCAACTTGGACGACCATGGCAGGATTGGGCTGAACATGATCCTTAAAGTTGGATCCAGGTCTGACGATACTGAAGCCATCATGAGCTTGCGTGCTGGCGGACGACTGGCACGACGACTGGCGGTGCGGGAGCTGATGTCACTCTGGCTGGAATGGCCATGCAGGGACTTCTCTCGTGTTCCTGAGGATGGTGTCAACCTGACGTCGACGACTTTCGTTTCTGGGCTGGTCCGTCCTGCACTACTGCAAAGTTGCATCTGCGCAACAGGGTAGCCAAAAATAATTCAAACCTCCATTTGCTTCCTTGATTTGCCGGTTGGGATGCACATTAGGGCCGTCGGTATCGCTCAGGGAGGGGTGGATGGCCTCATTGCTGCATTCCCAGAGGATGAGCCGCCAGCTTTGGAACCACGACCAAGGCTAAAATACCGCCTTTTCGAAACCAGTGACAGTGCAGTCTCGTCTTGCTCTGCCACGGGCCGTGCATCATCTCCCGATACGGCGGCGACCTCCCCTCGTGATGAACCGAGCCGGAGATTTTACCAGGGACTCAACGGGTAGATACGAGAAAAGACGAAATTAACTATGGCTCATCTGCTGGGCCACAGACCTACTACGCTGGACCGCCCTTTCTCTTCACCAAACCTCGTAACTCGTGGCTTTTTTCCCCTCTCGCTCCCTGGTCCCCTCAAAGCGAACCGTAAGCGACGCTCAACTCACTCCAATATTTAAGCAACACAAGCCAGAGGGAAGAGGGACAGGGGGATAGCTCCACCACTGACTTCATCGTGCATGGGCCGGTCTCTCTTTCGCACTCTCCATTCCTCCCACTCCAGTACGCCAGCCGACAGTCTGCTTTTTTTAGTGCACTTACCATCCGGGCGGGTCTGCCCTTCTCGCGACTAGATGCGATAGAGGGCTCTCGGGGGGAGGATGGACTGGGGGGAGGGTGGACGCTGCTCACCAGGTGACTCTTCATCCGGTTTAGTCGAAAGCTGGGCTTGGTGTCTCGCTTCTCGGACCGGGGTTCGAACTGGAGTGAAGGGGAGGGGTATGAATATGTCGGCAATGTATGGGCTATGTGCATAGTATATGCATATGTATGTGCTGGTTCTCACGCAGCAGGCCAGTTCAGGGCGATAGATTGGCTTGGCTGATACCTGTGAGGCCTTGGGACACGCACCCGGATTTGGATCTGTGTACGTAGGGCCATATCCATGCCTGCATACAGCAGGCCCTTGCCAGCAGTCAAATGACACGGCCGGGATCAGAGACGCACCACCATGGCACGGCGGCGACGCGTTGCCGTACAGGTGAAAGAGTGCATAACGGCTCACTCAGACACCGAGTGGGGGAGGACGGTGGCCGAGAGGCACAGCCCAGAGCAGGTCGGTCTGCAGCAAGCCAGCCGAGATGCACATTCATGCCGCCTCTCGCTGCCTACCAGGCGGAACTAGCAGGCGAGGACATGCATATCGCTTGTCTGGGCAGTCATGGGAACATGTGGCGTGCGCCCGCTGCGTATTGAGCCTCGGGGACTGGGCGGCTCGCACGGGTATAGGACCATGAGCTGCTTGACAATGAAGGCGACGACGCGTTCTTCTCTAGGCAGCCACTTTAGCAGCACACCTCCTCGACGATGGTCTATTCAACGAACCCCGTGCAGGTTGTGAAACGTACGCGCCGGGCAGTGTGTTGATTCACTGATTGATTGATTGATTGATTCTTGAGCCTCGCTACACCCCGGCATTGTCCCCCAGACCTCCAGCCACCTGACCTAGCTAACATAACAGGGCCTATAACCGATGTTCCCGCGAGCTGGGGTTGAGGCCGTGACAGCGAATGCGATGACTGAGAAACAGTGCCGGGGTCAAGGACTTGTCGGGTTCGAGCAACGTGACCGCCATGCCTCCTCTCCTCTTCGGGTCGTCCGAGGGGTGCTACCCCAGCCCAGACTTTCTATTCGAGGCCCGGCTTAGATTCGTTTTCGCAAGTCCCAATTTACAGCTGGCATTGACCACATGATTATTTCCGTCAGCCAGCCACTCAGAGCCTCAACACTCCATGGTGCTGTCAGAATGTGAAACCACCTGCTGTCTTCGTTCGCTGCACAGCCTCTTATGCGATTGTGATATCTTCATGACTGCCCATTGTACACAGTCTATACTTCGGTGGAGAGTACTGTTTAATCCTCTTCGAAATTGGGGGAAAGGGGTTGATTGAATATCTCGTAATTGCTATTTTCTGTGACGTGAGTATTTAGAAGTTCCCGCATAAAAGTCTTGTTGTATGTCTATGCTATACTTCCCATCAGACCAATGGAAAATCAAATCAATCATTAGTACAACTGAGCAATCAAGCTTGCTCTGAAAAGCACAGCTCCGACCGTGGATGGGTATAGTCAGCCTAACATAACATAACATAACTGGGCACTCTACTGCCCAGCTGCGCTCTGAGCACAACCACTCCTCCCATGTAGTGTCAAGCCCACGCTCTTAACCTCAATATAAGTCCGACTGGATTTTTTGATTTTTTGATTTTTTGATTTTTTGATTTTTTTTTTAATTTCTTTTTGTAGTTGTCTTATTGATAAGACCTGGACAATGCTCAGGTTTGGAGATGTGGAGGAGACATAATCATTCTACACATTTTTCCAACTCACGAGAGGATCGTGAGAGCAATCATGCAGCTGTTTTTTGACCAAATACGATCTCAAGGAGCAGACCAATATTAAATACCCTGAGTCTCTTTGATTACGTCATTACAGCTTCTTGTTGATCTGCTCGGTGGGCTTGTACATGTCAGTGCATCGGTTGCCCAGGTTCGGCCTGCGTGGTCTTGGGTCGCCAGGGCCGTGATTAGATATAATCGCATGGACCTCAAAAGTTCATCCTCAATTCCGCATCCTTGAGTGGGAGATTTACCTTTTACCCGTGTCAGGGTTTATCTAAATATTACCTGCTTTTCTGTTCATGTGAATACACTCCCTGGGAGTGGCGGGTAGACATAAATCGGGGTTTAAGTGCCACCAAAGCACTGGATGAAATTGCTCGAACCCACAACCGAGACCCTGCAACAAATGTATCTGATCAACAATTGGGCTCTGTGATTTTCATCGATGGAATGATTCATTGGGGCTGGGAGAGGCTCCGTTAGTTGCTTACATACTCTCAATGGGGAACGATAACTCACTTAGAAGGTAAGGTATTTCAAGTTGCCTGTGTAGCTCTAACCGTGAACGAGGCAAACTACAACGAAGAGAAGAAGACCTAAGATGGCTTGAAACGTGCTAGTGACGTTCTCAGTCTCGGCAGCTCAGAAAATACGGCTGCCAGTGGTGGCATATCTAAACAGGATGTATATTGAAGGCATACGTTGTCAACACTGCGGTCTGAGGTTTGGGTGAGAGAATAACCCAGCTTGTCCTGCTAGATTGAGTGTGTACAGTCTTCCACCTCCCTTTCCTGGTTGAATATTTGATAAGTAATCGGGGTTTTACAGAATATAAGAGGAAAGGCTGGAAAGTTGTCAGAAGGGAAGAAGGCTAGTGACTACATTGACGCCTTATGCGATGAATAGCCCCGGTGAACTATGCTTTGGGGGCTGAGGTAACCGGTGTGTCTTTTATATTTTACTATATTCTGTATATACGGCATGGCCATTGTAAAGAGAAGTGATCCCGCCATTATGATCATGTGTCATAGCAGCAGACGAGTCTCGGCCAAGAGCACGCTCGATACCTTATGTATTACTTCCCCGGGAATCTCTCTCAATAATAGCCCCTGGGGCTCAGTGGTCAGCGCGCTCCCGCACGCCCCCTAGCGATATATGTACTGGCACTGATGATCAGACCAACTGTAGGTGTACTCGTGCTGATGATCAGACCAGTCGCAGGTAGACTCTCCTCCCCAGGTCAGTAAAGGAAGGGGACGAGTGCATCGCAAGAGGGGGGACGAGAGAGGTCCTCGGTTGGAACCCGAGCAGAAGCATTATTTTTTCCCTCTTTTCAGTTTTTTCCCCCCCTTACATGTGCTGCCAGCTTCCAACAGGGAGGAGATTGGTGTGTGCGAGCGAAACACCCAACTACCGTCATATCAGGCATAGCTGCGTAATAGCCAGGTTTACTGACTTACTTTCTGTATATACCAAGTTTGCGAAACAACTGGAGTCTATGGGGATGCTTGGAGGAGACTTGGGAATTCTTTATCAGCTCACGGAGTGCTTGTGCTGTTGCCAGTGGAAGCCTCCCTCCCAGCAAGCAGAGCCCTTACTTCTAAGAGAACAGCCCAACAACTCGTATTTGTTGGTCTATGAGCAGTCGCTAGATGGAAAATCCTGAGAAGGTGGTTGAGAAGATGAAATGGAAGCTTGTCAAGGCAATGAGTGCGAGAGCCTCATAAACGAGAAATGGCTGTCCACCCGGAGAGAGATGCTGCATTTACCGCCTCATGCAGAGAAACACAACCTTGCCTCTCCTCGCACGCGACTCCTGCACGGTCCCTTGTCTCTCTACTGCTTTTATAGGAAGTATCAATCATCTACCCTTCGTAGTGATGGATAGCGAATAGGACGAGTGTGCGTGTCTCGCTTCTTCGAACCAGTTGACGGTGGCCTGGTATTCCTCGTCATTTGGCCTGGTACTTGATTCCCCAATCATGATAACAGAATGATTGCAACTGAGGTAGCTATGATATGGCAATACAGCTATCGACATTCTAATTAAAGCCGATGGGTACTTGTACAGAGTAAAGCAGGCGATATTTCTGCCAGGGACCAGTTTCCATCGGCAGAACGCAAGACTATACTAATCAAACCAACCCCAACCACATGTCTCTCTTTCTAATATCCAGTATTAAACCAAACTTGCTGCACTTATTGCCAATCTCTTCATATTATGGCTTGTCTGCCCTACAGTCAAACCAATTGCCTCAGAAATCGAACAGTGTTTCTGTTACATGTAATTGCGAATTTAATTTGTACGTAGATTAATACCAAACCCAATCATCCTTCTGCCAACGCCGTTGCCCCAATATTATAAACGTTAGGACTTATCATTCCAAAGTACATCGAGAACCCGAACATGTCCAAGCAGGTTCTCCTCGAATTGCGTCATGATCAGGCGAATTCAACCTGACCTCGTTATGCTCCAAATACAAGCCAAGCCTCCTTTACCCCTCCATTTTCACATCTGCAGCGCTATCCAAGTTCTTGAGTAGATAACTCCGTTTGAAATACTCGTTTGGATGGACGATGGTAATTAATTGGTTCGAGGTGAGGATCTCCTCGGCCTTGGCCCTCTTGATCTCGTTCTGGTGTAAGTGGTCAAATACCCTAAGCAATGGTTAGCCGTCCCGCTTGGTTAAGAAATTCGTTTTGGGGGGGAGCATCTCGGTTTTCGCCTTACCTGTTACAAGCCATGTGATGCTGGTTTTTGGCCTTGTCCTCGTGAATGCCCTTCAGAACACTGCTATCAGAGACTCCCATGGCCTGCACCAGCGCCTCGAGGTTGTCCTTGCTGAAGTGCCGGTAGGGGCAGCCGTGAGCCTCGCCGGGGCCAGGTGGGTGCTCCGTCAGGATCTTCTGGCAGCTGTAGGGGCTGTAGCCGCCGCCCCTGCGGTTCGAGTCTCCGCCCACGTCGCCGTAGACGTGCCTGACGTTGTACCGATACTCCTTGTTGAACTGCTCCTCGGTGATCTTGTGGAACCCGTTGCGCCAAAACATCAAGCACTCCTCTAGGCTCAGACCGATACCCTTCAAGAAGAGCGTGTACTGCAGTCGGCCAAAGTGCTTCAGGTGGGCGTCGCGGCGGAGCGAGCGGTGAAGATGCGACATGCAAGCAGGGAAGTGCTGTGACAGGTTGTCAATGTTCGCGGCCGAGATCTGTGCTCCGTCAGGGGCGGAAGTGCCGGACATGTAGGCCGAATCGGGGGTTATGAAGTTCTTGGAGAGATGGTTCAGGATAGGAGTCAGACGGTCGTCTTCATCGAGACGAGGAAGGGCTCGTGCGGTCAGCTATGAGAATAGGGTTAGTCGTCATGGCTGCGCGGTGGAGATGCTTCTTCTTACCTCGAGTTGCTTCTCAAGCCTCGCCTGGAACTCCACGGTGATCATGCTGGACTGCTCGCGGCCTGGCACATAGGCCATTCCGCGCTTGACAAACACTCGGCGGCTTTCGACCAGATCGGGCACGCGTTCCCAGTCGACCTTGAACCATGTTTCCTCCTCGACATTCGTCCTCCTCGGGCTCACGTCTGCAAGCTCTGACGCAAGCTCTGCCTTCTCCTCGTCCGTCACGGGGAGGCACCAGTCCAGATTCAAACTGTTGATGAAGCTGTTGCGTTCGCTCTGGTCGTCGCTGGCAAGTCTCATCCGGAAGAGCATCGTCTCAACCCTGGTGAATCGCCGGCGCAGATCTTCCGTTGATGAGAATGCCAACCGGAGGATGAAGTGGCTGTAGTGATCTTTCTGTCTCTGTAGGGCGATCTTGGAGGAACTAGTGTTCGAATCGAGCGGTAGATACTTGTCGATAATGGATTTCATATGCGTTGCCGTCTCTGCTGGTGATTTGTTGCGGAAGGAACACGCCTCCAGTTCCGCAAGTACTTCAAGAAAGTGTTAGGTTGGTGGTAGGCCAATGAGACTTTTGATCACGACAAACCTCTTAATCTGTCAATGGCCCATTGCTCAAACTGTTCCAGGGTGATGTCGGCCGTGGGCGCATCTGCGTAGAAGTTGAGGCGATAGGGATAGTCGACGCTCTTGTACTGGGGCGTGGCGAACTGCCTCTTGCGGTGATCAACGACATTGCGTCTCTTGGGGTCGATTCTATCGTGGTTATGGCGCAGCATCTTGACGAAATTATGTCGACGACTGTAGACTCTTCTATGTTGCTGAACTCGAGTTTTGGGTATGCTACATCAAACGTCACTGCGCGTGGTAGGGAAGTTCAGGGTTACGCGACTTTACGCGTCGCGGGGGCTCGTTGTGGGGAAACCAATTAAAACAGGCGCGTTCACAATCGCGCCCGCTACAGGGTAGGTTGGCCGACATGTCGCCTCTTTGAGCCTCAGGTTCGATTGTCTCGGATGGGCGCTCAACTATGAAACAGGGCGGCGGCGGTGTAAAGCGATCCCATCTTTGGCACATTCCACACCTTCAGTTCAACATGCGTTCTCCCCTCCATACGTATTGATCGCCCTCAGAGTTGCTGGTAGCCGAGACATGTGACGTCCAGTCTCTACGCATCACGCAACTCATAGGGCCGAAGACGGATTCTGGGCGAAGGCTGTGCAAAGGATTTATACGAAGCGTACCTGCGGGCCACTCACGAGGCGCAGAGCGAGGATCTCAAAACCTACAGAAAAGACCTTTTGGCACCTCCACATCCTCTTCCGCATCTCTGGCCCACCCTTACCCCTAGCAGGTCGATCAATTAGTTCCTTGGAGGGCTGATGCCTTGCCCGTACCCGACCAACGGTTAATGTTACAATCAATAATTCAAGTCCATCTACCTCCGATGCCTCGTCAGCAAGCAGATATCCATCCGCGATGCATCCTCTAAGCAGAGAAGCAAAAGAGGAAAGAAGATTCTCGCTCTCGATGCGACGTCTAGCCCCAAGTAGGCAAAGGTTTGCGAGTTGTCGAGCTGATGAGCGGGGGCGGGCAGGAGAGAGCAACATTCCAATGTGTCACCCGTCACATTGAAGCGGCCCAACAGCATATGTATTACACACATAGCATAGCCCTGCGACCTGCGGCCGAACAATAGAGGGTGTGTGATGAATGGCGCGTCCGCCATTTTGCGACTGGCCATGCATTCGACCGGCCTTAGCCTGGCCCACCGCAGGCACCTTAATCTGCGCACTTCTACATAGTACGCTGCTGTTGGTCCGCCGGTTGCGGGACCGGTCAGAGCCTTGACGTCTCATGGCAGATGCGCTGCGTTCTCGCTTCATGATGCGCAATTCAGGTAATAAATGTTTCTGCACGTCGGATGGGCTCCTCTTTCTGGAGCTTACTCGGGACATGACTTACCATTGGAGCCCCTCACCCTCCTCCACCGCTGAACCAACCACAGGGGATGGCGCTGAATCGCGAACAGCGAGTCCACGCATGTCTTTGTTGGTGCCGAGGAGGGAAAGATGCTGCGATGTATTATGTGAGATGAATGGGGGGGTGTTTACCATCGTTGGTCCTAGGGACGCGAAAGCGAAGTCGTATCCGCCCATTGCCAGCGCAATTGTCATCTAATTAATCATTCAAGTCGTAAGATGAACAGGAAAGGGGAAAGGAGCAGATCATCAGCACAAGCGTATTCGCGAATCGCAAGACGCCGTCGGTAAGTACATGCACCAAAGGATGGGCGGGGGGTCCAGTGAGATCGGTGTAAGAGTTCTATAATTCCGATGCGTGTGGATAATAGCGGAACGAGTGTGTAAGCTAATTGATCCCACGCAAGGGCTCGGCCAAAACTGAATCTAAAGTCAAAAAGCAAAAAAAATGCAGAAGTACTTCGGGACTGAGCCTTGTTGAAAAGGCAAAGGTCCAAAAAAAAGAAAATCAGAAACAAAACATGCGGATAGCCAAAAACAGATCAAAACCAGAAAAGAGACCAAAGGAATGAAATAACTCTGCCCAATGCTAAAACAGAGGGACGGCAAAGAAATGGCAGGCTGGTGAAAATCGCTTGTATCAATGATGGGTCGCCCCAATGCAGTCAGAACAGTGTCGCAAGCAGATACGCTCCGACGGGAAATCCTCCTCTTCTATAACCCTGTCCACACCCTCCCCGAGCTCGTCGTAGTCATCAATCCCGGGCTAGCCCTATGGACGGCAAAGAGCTGGCTCCCGCTCGTCGGTCGTAGGGCGGGAGGAGCGTATTCGTCGTGGGTGTTGTAGGTACTGAGACCAGGCAAGAGCCGGCCGCGGCATTGGCGATTGTTCCAAGACAGTTCGGGCGTGGGGGAGAGACGCCGGTGTCGACGCCCTCTCTAGCATGAATCCAGAAGCAAGTGACAGAAATAAGAACGTGATGCAATCTTGTTGTAGCAAGTAAACTCAGAATCTAGTGCCATATGGGTTGCTATTTAACTACATGCCCGGGTTAGTGACTGTGTTTTTCTGTTCCTTTTCGGCGGAAGACGAGCTTCCAGTCGGGACTGACGATCGGGATTGGCCGCCATTGCTCTGCCCCGAGGAGCTCGAGTAAGGCTTTCCGCCGCCCTGGCCGCGAGTCTCGACGCGGGGGAGGAAGGCATCGAGGATGGTGCCTCCGTTTGTTCCAGAGCCATTGGATGAGCTACCGGAGTTTCCACCTTGGGGACGAGGATCCATGTTGGAAGGCTACAGAGCCGGTCAGTTATGCAGGAACACAGCAACAGACGGCGCAATCAGAAAGGCAGAGGGGACGAGGACAGAGAAAGAGAAAGGAAACCTACTGAGGTGGTTCGGTGCGTTGAAGGCGGAGAGCTGATTGCTAATTGCCAGGGAATCGGTGGGAGAGCGAGCTTCGTTTCTTCCTTTACAGACACGGACGCAAGTTGAGAGGCAATGGGAGGAATTGCTGGTGAAGATGTTGATGTTGACAGTGGTGGTGATGATGATGCTATAGCACCTGTACTCTTGTCGGTTCCCATGATGAGGTCTTATACTCGAGGAGGAAGATGATGAAGAAGGAGAAAGACAAGAATCGAAATAGAAATGGAGAACGGCGTAGTTGTCTTCTCTGCTACGCCCCTCGCTCCTGGACGACTTTTGAATACCGCAAGGCTGTCCTCTCTGGGGTCCAGATTCGTAAACCGAGCGATGGAGAAGGGCACAGAGGATAGCGCGGCCAAGGATTTGATTCAGAGAGGTCAATACCGAGAGATGGGGCCGTAGGTAGGGGCCAGTGGCGGTTTACGACGAGACAGGATTAGACAGCAAAGTCAGATCACCAGGCAAAGGCCATTTTTTTTGGTGTGCGAAATGGATCATGACTTGTCAACGGCACGATAGCATGCGGCAAAGCAAGCTCCAGACAGAATTGCCCCCCTCTAGGCAAATCATCGCTGACTGGTGGATTGGGGGAGTCGGCCTTATGGGACAGGAATAGCAATAGCCTGATGGCCAGCAAGGGGTCTGTCTGGCATCGGGCTCTTTCCCCACGGTGGCAAGTCCTGCTCGACGACTGCCATGGTTCCAGAGCAGAGCGTCAATTGGAAATGAAACTCACGGCAGCGCGTGTCGAGCGAGCCCACGCCGGGACGAAACCAACAGCATAGCTCTTGACACTAGCTCACGACCATATTTGCCCACCTGGTCGGGCCTTGTCCATGTCGGGGCCAACGGTCCCAACCCATGGTCACGCCAGCCGATCATAGCAGCACCCATGCGCCGCCAGCTTTTAGGATCTCATCAGGGGCTGTAGCGAATCGGATGCCGGTAGCCTCAGCTCTGGCGCGGAGAGGGGCTGGCGTAGACGCGATACAACGTCCGAGCACAGGCACAGAAGAGGAAACCTTTACTGACTTGCATTCAACTTGGCGCTCCACCCAGCGCCCATTGTGCTGCGGTTAGCGAGCCATTGGCCGCTGCAGTGCTCAATGCCATTGCACCGACGGGAGCTACATACTTGCTGCCTACAATTACTGCTCAATTGACTCACGCACAGAGGACAACAGGCATCTAGACAATGGATCCAGACACGCGGCCATGCGCATGCGTGCGTGAATGCTCGGCTTGGGCTTGAACCCAAGTCCCTCGCATGGGGCGGGAGGCCAGGCGGCCCAGGCACCAACCAGGCGGCAGCTCGTGGCAGTGAGGATCTTGTGTCGTGCTGCCTTGGGACCGTGAAACTCGCCAGGTGAGTCAATTCCCCTCGCAACAGGCGCCAATGGCCTCATCGACGCCCGGATCGAGTCCAGCGAGTCTCGCACCACATGCCTCCCGCGAGTCACACGAGCCACCGCCTTGGTGCTGGCTCCAATTGCGCCCGCCAGTCTGCCTATCCGATTTGACAACCCAGATTCGGTCGTACTCACCAAAGGTCCCTATCAAGGTGGCAGTTTGGGGGCCGCGCGGGGCCACCAGCGAGGCTCTGCCGAAATCGAGTCTCTTTTAAATTAATTCAATTGCCTGATTACCTACCTACTCTGGACGACTTCCGCCCAGACACCGAACAGCCATTGCCCCACCCGATGGTGCTTTGCCCTGTCTCTGGGCTCTAGCGGGCGGCACAAGCAGGTCAGGATGCAAGATCAAGTGACCGAGAGGACGGACTGTAGGGCTCTATTTACGTCACTTGCCTCGTACTGGTCCAATGTCCCTCTGGTTGATGAGTCCTCCCGAACGGTTCTTCGGTACGGTTCAGCCTCGCCGAATCTCACAAGGCTGTGATTGGGGGCCTGTGCCCGACCCCCAGCGGGCTTCTTTAGACCAAAGTCACCTAAGGGGAGGCTTTCCGGATCGGCTGTTTCCCAAATTCCAGGCACCGAAGAGCGTTCATGCATCCTCATGACGATATGCACCCTTCATGACGGCTGAGTGGCTGCTCCCGATGGCTCCTTTGGCGTGTATACGCACGCAAGGCAGATAAAAGAGAACTCTTTTTCCAGAAACAGATATCTCCGACGGCCAGTAAGTTTTGTCTTAGTCCCCAATGATGAATGGGCAATGGCCGCGTTATTAATAGCAGAATGTGCATAACCCATTCTCAGATATTACGATGATACCACAATTTCCAAGACATGCAGATATATGGGTAGGAGCTGAGCTACTTGGCCGAAGCAATCTTCACTTTTCTACTAACTGCAAGCTGTTCCTTTGAGTGCACCATTGGCATCCATGAATTTTCGGCCTATCTCGCCCG